AATTTAGAGAGCCTAATATTGCTTTCATTAGATGTTTTTAGACTCTGCGGGACTTCTCTTGGTTCTGAAGAAGGTTATGTAACTGGACCTGCTGCAGGACAGCTGCAGAGACATTTATCAGAACTTTCAGATGAAGACAGAACCGTTTCTGATAATTATCTTTCATTAAAAACATAAAATGCATTAAATGTAGACCCAGCTTTCTTTTCATTCATCTCCACAGCTCACATTCACCGTTGTTGTGTTCCTTCTCTGCATTTAATCCGTTGTTTTCATGATGTTTGCTCCAGGTGACATCTGTTAATCCGTCTGTTTGTTTTTGCATTTGATGGGAATTAATGTTGTTTTCAGATTAGAGCGCTGGATTGCATCAGACTATCGTCCCGTCAGTGAGAAAATCCTTGGCTGGGGTCAGTCAGTGCAGCCTGCAGCTTTAAAGAGTCCATCTGGTGCCGAGATGCTCTGTGTCTGACGCCCTCCCGCATCGTAAAAAAACAAGAAATAAATGAAGGAAATAAAGATTTTCCTGCTCATGTCCCTCATTCAGACCCTGTGGATCCTGGTCCAGATGGTCCAGACCCTGTGGCTCCTGGTCCAGATGGTCCAGACCCTGTACACGCCGGTCCAGACTCTCTCTCTCTCTGGCTGCTGTGAATGGATGAGCGCATGGTGGGCGGGGATGCAGGGAGGCAGCATCACCGACGCAGCATCAGCATCCGCAGACTCCCCATGTGGGAGTCCATGTGTGTGAGGGGAGTCCATGTGTGTGAGGGGAGTCCATGTGTGTGAGGGTGCAGAGGACTCGTCCTGCCCTGTGGGGGAACACCAGGTCCAGGAGCACGGCTCTCTGCGTCCACATGAATAACACTAACGAAAGGTGGGCTTTCATGGTGGGCTTTTACTGATGCTAAAAATCATGTTTGTTTTTTGCTTCGTCATGGTTTTTAAAGTTATGTAACAGGATGATTTGTCTCGTTTCACATTCAGTTTGTTGCTTTTATTGAAAGGAGATTCTCTAAATGCTTTTGTTTTGCCTTTTCCTCACTGTTAGGAGCAGTTATTGCAAACGTTTTTATTACACAAAAAGATGATTTAAATGCATTTTTAAACTAAAACCTGTTTGTTGCAGCAGCTGCGGGAACTTTTCTCTGCCAAGAAAATAACCTTTTAATTAGATTTTAGCCTTGTTTCTAAAACATATTTTGTTTATTTCATTAATTCATGTTCATTTAAAAAACATAATTAAAATGAAAGGAGGCAGAAAGAAGAAAAAATCATATAACATCTGCTCCTTTTTTCCCTAAGTTAATTTTAAGCAACAACAATCAAGAATCAATAATTCTTGAGAGAATCAGGAGCAAAGCAACTTAAAAAGAGTTTTATATTTATTTTTTCACCCGATGTTAGAAACAGTTTGTTGGTTTTATAAAATAAATCTAAAATGCTCTTAGAAAAACTATAAAATATTAATATTACGACACAAAAGATCAAAGTGAAATACTCACTGTTTGTTTTCCTCCTGAAAGAGACACATTAAATCAGAAAATATCCTGTTTGAGTCACAGATTAGGGATTAAACGCAAACAAAATAAAGCCTTATGAACGCAGAATATTTGAACTTTTGTATCGTAATATTAATATTTYATAGTTTTTCTAATATTCTGCGTTCATAAAGCTTTATTTTGTTTGCTTTTAATCCCTAATCTGTGAGTGAAACAAGATATTTTCTGATTACGTGTGTCTGTTTCRGGAGGAAAGTGAGTATTTGTGCAGTCTGGCCTGTTTGCAGGACCTGCTGACAGTTTGAGCTGGAGGTTATGTAATAATCCCAATAAGTGAGTCAGATTAAAACGCTGGCCTGTGGCTGCTCTTTGACCCGCATGTGATAAATGCAGGTTATGAAACTCGGTCCTGATCGTTGGRGACATGGGTCTCCTTACACCCCGAGGCAAAGCAGCGAAACAAACTGTGGCTCAGAGGAAACCTCAGGTGTTCAGATCACCTGAGTCTGTCCCTGAAACCAGACCCACTTCCTGTCCCTGTCAGGTCTGTGGATCTACTCACCCAGGCTGAACATCTCCACAGCAAAGCGGGCTGACATGATGAAAACTGAGATTATTAATCCACAGAGAAATCTTCCTGCGTCCACAGAGTCAGAGTCCAGAGAGGTGTGTGTGTGTGTGAGTGAGTGTGTGTGTGTGTGTAGTCCTGCTCCATGTGCCTCCAGCTGTGAACTGGAGCTGTTTGGACCAGGGTTTTATGGACGGGCCGGAGGGGGGGGAGGAGACTGCTCCTGGTTTGGTCCTCCTCTCCCCCTCGTCTCCCTCATTCAGCCTGAAAACCTGTCAGAAAAGATTTATCACAAAAAAAAACTCACTTTTCTGTCCTCCTCTGGGCTGAAAGTATWTACAATTTGTTTTCTAACAAAATAAAAATATATTTGAACAGTTTACCTTAAAGTCTCATCTTTTGTTAAATGAGATTTTATTAATTAACCTAATTACCTTTCAGCCACCAAAACTGTTAAAGTCTGCTGACTCTCCGCTGCCAACATTAATTCAACAGTTGTTATCTGGAAAAATAAAGTCTGTTTTGATTCCGTAGTTTTCCGGACATGTTAGAATGTCATTCTGAAATGCAGGTCTGCACTCAGTGTAAACAAAACACTCAGCTCAAACACAGCTGTAGTCACATGACTGACCTGTTCGGCTGTGTGTGTAAACAAAACAACTTCGACTGTTTCTGTGAGTAAACAAACTTTGGCTGATTTTGTAGGTTAAATAACTCCCTGTTAATCTGTGCTCCCTTAAAGGATCCCTGATTAGTTGTAACATTAAACTTTATTTGATAAACATTTATTTTAACTGTAAAATAAAGACTGTAAAAATACTGTAGGCTGTTCAGTTTTTATCATTTTTAAAGTAAGTTTTTTAAAAATATATTTTAACACAGATGCAGCCATTTTATTTGCACACAAAGCATTCTGGGTAAATGATGACGTGGATAGGTCCTCGGTGCGAGGCTGCTAGCGAGCTATATCCACCCTGAAGGTTAATCTTGGACAATATCTGATGATCGACTCTTTTAAATKAAACCAGAGAGCGTTGACAGAGAGGAGAAGGTAGAAATGACTCAGCCTGGAACTGAAAATATGGATGGAGGACAACAGAGCTGCTTCATGGAAGAACAACCTCAGCTTAGCCTGTTAGTTTTAGCATTAGCCCCGATGCTATATTACCTTATATGTATTAGCTCGGTGCTAATGTGACAAAGAAACAAGCCAAACTGAGGTCCTCCATCCATATTTTCAGTTACACTGAGTCATTTTTGTGTTCCCCTCTCTGTCATGTGGATGGAGGACCTCAGTGACGAGAGGAGGATGTGTAACGCTGAGCTAATACATGTATATAGTGATAGCATCGGGGCTAACGCTAAAGCTAACAGGCTAAGCTGAGGTAATCTGTTTCTGTTTTTGCTAATCTGTTTCCTGATTTGAATATTTACTGTTTATAATTAAATTATATTCCTATATGTAGCATATTACTATTAATAACTTAATTTAATAAATTAAAGTTGATAAAGTTGTGAGTTTAAAAACATCAAAGATCAATGTTTAACAGACAAATAAATCCAGGATCTGGACTCTGAGACTCTGGTTCTGTGGAGTTCTATCTGCGGGGCAGGTCCAGGTCCAGGTCTTGGCACCTGGTCATGTTTGATATTCAAACCAGGATCTGGACCTGCAGTTTGTTACCAAAACACTGTCCTGTCTGTGAGAAGACGCTGTGGTTCTGAGTTTAATCTGCTTCCTCCAAACACAACGACTGATCTGTGCTTGATTACTTCGGTCTGATTGTTTGATTACTTCGGTCTGATTGTTTGATTACTTCGGTCTGATTGTTTGATTACTTCGGTCTGATTGTAGAGATTTCAGTTCCTCGTTAACTCCTCTGATGAAAGAATCATGGATCAGTTCAGGAAACAGAGAACTGTGTCCAGACCAGCAGTCAGAGTGCTGAGCTCAGCCTGAGGTTCTGCTGCGACTCTGAACATGAAGCCGAGGAGCAGAAAGAGCCGAAGCCAGCAGGAGAAAACCCACCGAACGTACAGGAGGAACAGCTCCTGACTCTGAGCTCAGACCTGCAGAACTCACAGGATCAGAAAAAGATCAGGCAGCAGGTGGAAGAGAGCCTGGAGAGGTGCAGGTGTGGACCAATTTGAGGTCCTGGTCCCGGTGTCCAAGGTCCTGGTCCCGGTGTCCAAGGTCCTGGTCCCGGGGTCCAAGGTCCTGGTCCCGGGGTCCAAGGTCCTAGTCCCCGGGTCCAAGGTCCTGGTCCCCGGGTCCAAGGTCCTGGTCCCGGGGTCCAAGGTCCTAGTCCCCGGGTCCAAGGTCCTGGTCCCGGAGTCCAAGGTCCTGGTCCCGGGGTCCAAGGTCCTGGTCCCCGGGTCCAAGGTTCTAGTCCCTGGGTCCAAGGTCCTGGTCCCGGAGTCCAAGGTCCTGGTCCCCGGGTCCAAGGTCCTAGTCCCCGGGTCCAAGGTCCTGGTCTCGGGGTCCAAGATCCTGGTCCCGGGGTCCAAAATCCTGGTCCCGGGGTCCAAGGTCCTAGTCCCTGGGTCCAAGGTCCTGGTCCCGGAGTCCAAGGTCCTGGTCCCGGGGTCCAAGGTCCTGGTCCCCGGGTCCAAGGTCCTAGTCCCTGGGTCCAAGGTCCTGGTCCCGGGGTCCAAGGTCCTGGTCCCCGGGTCCAAGGTCCTAGTCCCTGGGTCCAAGGTCCTGGTCCCGGGGTCCAAGGTCCTAGTCCCCGGGTCCCTGGTCCTGGGGTCCAAGGTCCTGGTCCCCGGGTCCATCATCCAAAGAGAAGACAAGAAGACAGGGTGGAGTGGACAGGACAGCAATGATGATGATGAAGACAGAAGAACATAAAGACAACACAGAAACAACAAACACAACAAAGAACACAAAAATCAACACAAGAAGCAAAACATAGCTAAAAGCTAAAAGTAGCAGACTGTTAGCTAAAAGCTAAACGCAGCAGACTGTTAGCTAAAAGCTAAAAGTAGCAGACTGTTAGCTAAAAGCTAAAAGCAGCAGACTGTTAGCTAAAAGCTAAAAGTACCAGACTGTTAGCTAAAAGCTAAAAGTAGCAGACTGTTAGCTAAAAGCTAAAAGCAGCAGACTGTTAGCTAAAAACTAAAAGCAGCAGACTGTTAGCT